TGAGGGACAGGGCCAGGTGAGGGAGACAGACAGGTGGGACACAGGTGAGGGACAGGGCCAGGTGAGGGACACGGACAGGTGGGACACAGGTGAGCGACAGGGCCAGGTGAGGGACACAGGTGGGACAGGCGGAACACGGCCAGGTGTGACGGGGCTCACCTGGCAGGAGTCGACGCCGCCCTGGGGCACACCTGCGCAGAACATGTTGCGGGTGATGGCGCTGCCGTAGGCGCGGGCGCACTGCTCCGGCCCCACCGTCTGCACCTGCGCACACTGCAGGTCCCGCGGGAGCTTGGCTGCACCGGGGACAGGTGAGGGGACAGGTGAGACAGGTGAGGGGACAGGTGAGGGGACAGGTGAGACACAGGTGAGGGGACAGGTGAGGGGAAAAGCCAAATCCCCAGGTTTGGGTCAGCAGAACCCCAAAATTCCCGGGATTTGCCCCATTTTGGGATCATTTCCAGCCCCCGAAACACCTCCACAGGTGAGCTCAGGTGAGCACAGGTGAGCACAGGTGAGACACAGGTGAGACAGGTGAGACAGGTGAGACACAGGTGAGACACAGGTGAGACACAGGTGAGACACAGGTGAGCACAGGTGAGCACAGGTGAGACAAAAACAACAGCAAATCCATGTTTTGGGGTCACAGGGACCCCAAATTCCCGGGATTTGCCCCATTTTGGGATCATTTCCTGCCCTGGAGCTGCTCCGGAGCTACCTGGGGCTCACCTGGCCAGGTGAGGGCACCTCCAGCTCTGGCACACCTGGGGACACCTGGGGACACACCTGGGGACACACCTGGGGACACCTGGACACACCTGACACCTCACCTGGGGACACCTGGGGACACACCTGGGGACACCTGGGGACACACCTGAGACCTCACCTGGGGACACCTGGGGACACACCTGAGACCTCACCTGGGGACACACCTGAGGACACACCTGAGCTCCCCCCGAGCTCTGCCCCACCCCCCCAGGTGTGCCCAGGTACCTCCAGGTGACTTGGTGGTGCCCCAGCCGCTGACGGTGCAGGTGTGGCCGGCGCGGGGACACCTGAGACCTCACCTGGGGACACACCTGGGGACACACCTGAGACCTCACCTGGGGACACACCTGGGGACACACCTGAGGACACACCTGAGCTCCCCCCGAGCTCTGCCCCACCCCCCCAGGTGTGCCCAGGTACCTCCAGGTGACTTGGTGGTGCCCCAGCCGCTGACGGTGCAGGTGTGGCCGGCGCGGGGACACCTGAGACCTCACCTGGGGACACACCTGGGGACACACCTGGGGACACACCTGGGGACACACCTGAGCTCCCCCCAAGCTCTGCCCCGTCCCCCCAGGTGTGCCCAGGTACCTCCAGGTGACTTGGTGGTGCCCCAGCCGCTGACGGTGCAGGTGTGGCCGGCGCGGGGACACCTGAGACCTCACCTGGGGACACCTGGGGACACACCTGAGACCTCACCTGGGGACACACCTGGGGACACACCTGAGGACACACCTGAGCTCCCCCCGAGCTCTGCCCCGCCCCCCCAGGTGTGCCCAGGTACCTCCAGGTGACTTGGTGGTGCCCCAGCCGCTGATGGTGCAGGTGTGGCCGGCGCGGGGACACCTGGTGGCCGGGCGGATCCTCTTGACGTGGGGCCCGAAGCGCACAGGCGCGTCCAGCCGCAGCAGCATGAAGTCGTTGTCGTTGCGCCGGGGGTCGTACCTGGGGTGCACCTGGACGCGCGAGACGCGGCGCACCTGGCCAGAACCCGCCCGCAGAGAGCTGGTGCCGATCAACACCTGCAGGTCCCTGTGGGGACAGGTGAGACAGGTGAGGTGGGAACCTGGGGACAGGTGAGGTGGGACAGGTGAGGCAGGACAGGTGAGATGGGACAGGTGAGGTGGGAACCTGGGGACAGGTGAGGTGGGACAGGTGAGGCAGGACAGGTGAGATGGGACAGGTGAGGTGGGAAAGGGGGGACAGGTGAGGTGGGAC